TTCCAGTTGCCCAGTTAGGAGAAAACAAGTGGTTGTGGAGCATAATTCGGAAGGAAATCTGAGATTCTATGAGGTCGACGTCATGACAGCATCACGCATTTCCTTTGTGACAGTTTAACGCAGACGTTTTGTTAAGTGGAGTTGGTGATTTCGAAATGACACCACTGAGCATTGAAGCACGCTTCAAGGCCTATAGGGACTTTCAATCATCTGACACAAATTGATTGTTTGTCCATGCGCAGTGCAATCAACGTGCTGCTTCGAATCTCATTGTGGTCGACACTTTTCATTTCACCTTCCATCATCACCCAGTATCAATAAGGTGGCCCAGTTGTACACGGAGTCAATATGAAGAGTGAGAATGAAGGCACTGGTCAATTAGTGAGGATCGTCTATGCATAGAAAACAGACTGTGTTATATTTGATGAACCAGGTTTGTCACAGCCTTGCATTCAATAGAAAGGCGTGTATAGCAGGATGATTTTCCAAAAGATTCCAGAACGACCTGTTGATCAACTACCAACATCTAACTGCGAAACACTAGACAGCCCATTAATAGACACAGTGAACATTGGCCACTGATGATGTGCAGGTGCTGGGGTCGTTTGCCAAACCAGTTGCATACACAGTTGTGTTGATAGTGAACTGGATTCACTGCAATGCAATTGACTCAGGAGAACAATGTATTACTTCATAAGCTGTGCACAAATAAACGAATATTTGGGAAATAAATGTGCACAGTGACTGTTTGATACAGCAGTTGTCACCTTGTATCTCATTCCATTAGCTGTGCCTGATAAATGCCAATATTTATCTCGACTGTTTGTATCCGCTCACTCATTTAAGTCAACTAATTATACTACTTATATTGCGTGTATATTATAGTAGCCGCGTAATAAATGTGTCAAAGTTTAAAACACTCATCACATGCATGTCTTCGCATGGTCAGCGTTCATTTCAGTTCATCGGTTACTCCTCTTCTTATTTAACCACATAACTCCCTTTTCCACTCATTTTGTATCATTTGGACTATTATACAGAGCTCATTTCTTGCTTTAAGGCAAATTGATTCTCCCTAGATGAACTGACACAGCCACATACTGTTTGTCTCTTCCCAGTATAACGTCGCATTTCGTTATGCAATATTGACTGTCGATAGTCTCGATGAGCTGAAAGACGCCTGGAAATACATCACCATTTGAGGTTTAAGTTTTTCATTATAATTAATTTCCGACTTCGTATTATCGAACCGTGTCTCCATTTCATGATTCTGAGCTTCACTTGAGCATTCGATGCTGGATATCTACTACGAAATACCAGCGGAGCGTGAGACTCAAACGGCCATCAAAGTGTTTTATTTTGTTAATCACTGGTCATAACAGTCATTCTGGAAGCCAGACTGACAGCTGCTACATGGCTGAATGCTAGTGTACTCGTCATGAGATCTGACAGTTCTTGACTGGTTGTCCCAATTGGTTGAGGGTATACACTGCTGACGCCGTCTATTTCAGGATGAAGCAGCGTTGTCCAGTGATCTCAAACTTTCAATGGTTCCTCACCATCTTCCTCGTCCCATGACAACAGCTCCCTTCATAACGCTGAAATGTTTCGATGCATAGTTGACTAGTGACATGACTGAAACTGTGGAGGGAAGAAGTTGATAGTGATCGTATTTGTGTACGCTACTGAGCACTTTTGAATTGCAGTGAGAAGCGTCGCTGGTGATAACCATTCACCTTCCAAACTATCTGTAGGTGGAACATTATTTCATATCATATCCATTAAGGTTAGTAAAATCTGTTCCTCTGAAGTTAGTTGATCAGTATAAACATGTTTCACGTCAGCAGAAAACTATTTGAAATCAGCAAGTACAATATACTTGTTCTATTCTGTTAGGTAACTGTTTTACAGAGTATGCAAATCTGATAAATTCTGAAATCAGTATTGAGTAGATAATCTGTGTTATGCAACCTACACGGTTATATTTCACACGTGTGATCATGTTTTCGAAATCCAATCCACAAGTAATGAACAGCTGAAACTAATCATGCATTATCAATAGCTTATACTCTCCATCCTCCATCTTAGTATTCACAAGCATGGTCTAAGTTGGTTTCATTCAGCCTTCTTCATCAATTGTGCTATAACTATTGCCATCATTCGCACACATACACATACACACACACAGACACAGACACAGAATTCACAGTATTGACAACACCTAACATATGTTTTATCCACTGAGATTAGTCTTGTTCCAGTGATGACCTCGCTCGAATTTTCTCCCCTCGATCTACTGACTTCCTACAAAGTATAAACACAACTACACACCTTGATACTGAAGTCATCACAAACGAATTTTTGGTTCTTTCTATTCCCCAGTAGAATACGCGTGACATGGGAGAGTCAGAGATTTTGGATTGTCCAGTCAAACGACGCCAAAACGGAGATTTAGTCACTACTACCTACAAAAGTGCAGTTGACACTTAGACTTCCTTCAGGTCATCTCATCCGATATCCACCAACGCAATCCTGATCAAATGCCTGAGTAGAGTAACAGGGCATGAAGACTGGCTATTAAGATAGAAAGTCGAAGTCAGGATAAGAAACACAGACAATTCAATATAACTCAGCGATTACCCCATGAGTTTATCCAAAAACATATGAGGAATATTAGGAAGAGTACTATGGATAAGACATCTGTAGACACTAACAGTGTCAATTATGAAGCTACGGAGAAGTACTTCAATGTCTTTATAGTTAATTGCATGAAGAAGGGAGATTAGAAGCCCCACGCAGAGCGGTACTTAAACTTGAAAACTCACTTCAAGAAAAACCATATCGGTTAAGGGATCGTATCAAACCTATCAAGTAAGTGAATTTCGTCCATCAGATTCTCTTATGACTGTGAGGTCAAGTACACCGGTCAAACTAACCAAACAGGGTCAACCAGGTTAACAAGGCCTAGAAATTTGGTTAAATATAGAACGGTACGCCTTAATAAGATAAGAAATTTAGAAAGCAGCTGAACAATAGCCAGGCATGTCGTTACTCACAACCGTGCAATGGGTAGGAAAAGATTGGCGATTTCAAAAAGTAACATGGGTAGGTGGAGAGAGACAGACTCATAACATAGCTGACATCTGATAAATGTAACAGAAATGAAGCAACACCAATTCCGAATAATATGTGGAAATTTCCACCACCACCAATTAGATGGAAGAATAAAAAACCATAGGACAATAAAAACTAGGCCAAACATTTTTGTGATTGCCTTAATGAGAACATGAGCAATAAATTTTGTTGCAAAAGTCATCAGCAGATAATACGATTTCAATGGTCATTTATCATAGTTGTGCAGTATATCAGCACAGTCTACTCTGCGCTGCACTGCTTTGCACTGCACTGCACTCACCAGCATCAACGAAAACACAAGCTAACAAATGCGATGCACACCCAAAGTAAACATGCTTATGTGTTCTCACCAACCAACTTTCCAGGCCTGATCCACTACTTAAAGTCAGTTTTATTAGGAATTTACCCACATTGAACTGCTCGAACATTGTGCTAAAATACATCAGCTACTCATGAGTAGTATGAAAATGACGAAAAGAAATTTCGGTAGTGCCAGTCCTATCTTCTCCTTCACTTTGTCACATAGTCAGTCTCTTCCAAAATCTCGGCTGCATTGGTTTATTACCTTCAAGTCCACCGAATATTTATTCAATGATTTAAAGGCAGTGGCTGTGATGCATCTTCATATCTTGTGAATATTTACTGTCCAATACATTTAAACTACACAGGAACGAATGTTCAACAATAAACATTCGCATGATACAAAGTCCTTCCAAATGGATGGCTTAGTTTCAAAATTTTCATTTTGTAGTCCGACAGAATCTTTACAGTCATCTTCCTCAATGCAATACAATAGGCTATCAGAATCTATTCACACCAGATCACATAATGTAGTTTAATTCACAGATGATGTAATTTCTTTCTTTGAGTGTTGTCAAACATGCTCAATTGTGTACATACATCCCTATTCTATTCACTTACGCTAGTGTTCACAAATCCATAGAGGTTATTGAATGTAGCTAGTCATTGTTAAGATGAGTTTCCATCACAAATTCTCGGATCATGTGCCCAATAGGCCTCGAGGGGAAGTGAGATGGTGTATGCATGTGTTTGTATAATCTGAAAAGTATCTCCAAACATATCATCAATAGATGACAACACCATATTGGGAAACTAGCTAACAAATCATGTTAACATAGAAGGAGAAATTCAATAGGAATATCATAAATGGAGCTTCTAAGCTAAAAACTTCCTTCAATTAGGATCATGAAATTGAAAAATGCAGCAATCTAACAGTGCATCTACATGAAATATTAGTATCCAAATGATACAGCAGTTTATTTATGAGCCTTCTAACTGTTGAATAACTGATTTCTTCTTTCACTTCCAAAACTTTCAATCTTGTGAAAACCCTATGTATACAGACACAGACACCTTACTGCCTATTCACAAAACAACCGACCAACTCAAAACTCCTAAGATTAACACATATTAATTATTAGTACATGACTGATAACAATTTTGGTCATTAAAAACTGTTGAAAAACTCCCCCAAGACTGACTTATTACCATTTAGCATTTTACTCATTGGATGAAAGATCACAAAACACACTATAGTTTTTTACTGTAGAAAATTATTATTTACATAATAAGTAGTACCTCACATCCAATGGGCAAGAAATCAAAACTGATATCACATTCATTGAAAGAAGTGTTAGATATTATTAAGATAATAAGATCATGAATAAAATCCTTGTGAAAATGTACATTTTTCAGAACTATTCTATGCAGTTGATATCAAACCACACGATTTTTGAGCAGACAAAATCTGCCTACTATTAAACAGAAGATGTAGTATGCGAATGAAGACAAAAAACAGCATTTGAAATTAAAAATCATGCTTGCAAAATAACTGGAATGTTAGTCTACAATTTAGTGCACAATATCATTGTCAATCCTGTCATGGACAGGATTAAAGCCATTCGAACTTTAATCCCACCTACATGATTACATCCATTCCAATCGTTACAATAGCAGAAGCGTTTAAAATTCATATTCGCATCTCTGAATAGCCCCATGGCAGTTTCAGCTAATGTCTGCCCCTTTAATTTTCCAAGTAAATATTGTTGATAGTCACGTGAATTCACACAGTAACCATGACGACGAAGTTGCGGCATATCTAAACGATATTGTGTATTCAGCAACAGGTCACTAAGGCAACCACGAGTTACAACAGTTTGATCTGTGTGTAAACAACAATGAGAAAAGATAGCACAAAAGTTATTTTCAAAAATGGTAACAGTTGAGTGGTCGCATAAGTAGAATACCTCAGTGTTCTTTAACATACGCCTGTATTTCAGTTTTCCTCCTTGTTTATTTTGGATACACACTAGCTGTTTGAACTATTAACTCACTCTCAGTAAGGTAGTTCTTTATTAACCATAAACCCACACACAGATACCTCACAATTCGAGGTTTGCACTTGACTAGGCACTACTGTTAATGAATAAGCAATCGCATTTCAAACAAGTCATGTGCCTTGTATTCTACGCTTAACTCGAGAGTATTTCTATGAACTGTTGGAGAAACCCTTGTTCAACTAGCTTCCCAATTTCTTGGGAAGAAATTCACAGTGATCCATGTAGAAAATAGTTTGAATAAAATTCATCTTCCCCCATAAATATAAGACAAGACAGAAAGTCATTGATGACTTCACTCCGGTAATAACACCACTGTGTAGTCTTCTAAACTGCTTCACTTCAAGAAGTAATCAAAACCTAGAATTTCAAAATGATCACCTCCAAACATCGTTTCACCAAGCGTATTTCCATACAGTTTTGCTGAACAATAAGCTTCTTCACAAAACCATCAGCTCAGCAATACACAAGGATTAAAATATCAGGTTTCGGTCATTTTAAACTACGCCTAAACACGTGGGTTTCTGACTAAGAGTTGTTCTAATAAAAATCGTGAAAAGAGAGGTTAACTTCAACATGTATTACCTTCAACTTTCTGAATTAATTTCACACAATAATTCTCAATCAATTGTCGACCAGAACACTTCTTCCAGTGCATCAATCTGACATCGATGGGATCACCACAACCTGACTGAGCACTTGTACAAGAGTAACAGTATAATTCTGCTGAAATCACTTCTAAAATAGTAGGTATATATATATACACGCAAACATAGCAATTAGTATGATACGAAGACTGTAGAGTCATGAAATGTTTATGCAGTCTACTGAATATCCCTTCAACGATAATAGTAAAAGGAGAATTTAATCAGTTAGGAAAGCAAGTGAAGTTAGAGAGCAGTAGACAGCATTTTCGCTTTAGTTTTACACTTCACAGGATGGTGCACCGATGACTCCATAATACACAAATCTAACCACCTTCAGGTCACAAAAGCATAAACTTCTATGAAAAACGATTGATTCAATATTGGGGGAAGGGCAAGATACACTCAGAAAGTGACTGAAATGCAGATAGAATGCTACTAAACATTTTCATCTTTCTGGTGAGTTGTGGATGAATTCAAAGAAGAGAAACATTTCACCCCTTCCAAAGTGTACTCGTATCAGTCAGTTTCTAGTTATGCAAAGAAATTAACGTCTACTGACTGGTTACTCTGTAGAACAATTACTTATTCATACAAGAAGCTCAATGAAAAATAGAGAAGATTAGCTAGAACAATCTATATTGTGTTGATGGATTGAGTGACATACCTTAGAAGAGATTTCAATGGCTCACATGTATGCACACATTATCTTCATCCTAACAGTCATAGTGAATTCCAGGATTGTCTGACTCCTTCTTGCTCTCTAGATTCCACTCTCTTCACGGCTTTCTACCATCAGTGGCTTTGTTCGAGAAAAGCTATCTTGCCTTGTGACTCTTCTTCACATGTAAACGCCATCGCTGCTAATTATATTTGACCCGTCTGTGTTGTTTTTGCATAGGATGAATGTATTGTCTATATATCGACATTAAAATGAAAATCCTCTAGTAGATCACTCAAGTAAACCATTCTCCAGTTTCCGTAGGAAAAAGTTCGCAAGTATGAGACGCAGTGGCAAGCCCATTCTGACTCCATTCACTTGTCTGTTCAGTTCACCGTTAGAGTAAACATCAATCGTCCGTCTGAGAAATAATTTTTGGGAACATCTATCGAGATTCCAACATTGATAGACTTTTGTTCTCTGAAGATGAAGAGATGGGTGGATAAAGAGGAATTTCTTTGGGAAAAGTATGTGGACGGGGAAAAGTACACATTTCCTCAGATTCATTCCCCATCACTACAAACGAAGTTCAATAGGAACTTTAAGTTGCAGAACAAAGGCTATATGTTGAGAAGATACAGTTGAGGAGGAACTGGTGACTTCGCACAACACACTAATCGGAAACGCCTATCTTGATATATTCATTAAAAAACATATGATCACAAAAGTGGCAAGAAAATATGTTCCAACGGGTAGCAGAAAACTGATATACATTCAATTAAGAAGTGACGTGTTCACCGAGATACGAATTGTTGATGCATAATTACTCAATATATACATATGACAGTGGAACTTGTATGAAGATGAAGTTATCGAGAAGAATATTCTTTGTCCAGTCAAGTGGCTTCACATTGTGTTATCTCTTTCGTACTACAAGCATTGACCAGTTTATGATAAGGTATTAGCAGGTTGCAATCCCCTGCAAAACCATCACTAGAAGATCTAGATCTCCACAAGAAAACGACCTCATCAACGATCCTCAGCACTATCCCAAGATATAACACCCTTATAATGGATGAAGAAGAAGTGAGATGAGCAAAGGCATTATAGGCCTAACGATGCATATAGCTTTCAACTAGGTAGCTGATAATTAAACACCTAAGTTTGACACCTTATCACTCCATGCAACTGTTTTCGGGGGTTGGATTCACTTACTAAAACTATTCTCATTGAAGTATAGGTAGTCAAAGATTTGTTTTTGTAGAAACCACAAAAGATAGTGCAGTGCTCGAGGGTATTATCCCTTCTCTACCCTATTTGAATGAGTTGTCTGAAACGACTAAATCTCCCATTCTCACACTGGTGGAAGAAGTTACACTCTGAAAACTTACTAAAAGTGATGAGGATATGTTGCCATCATGTGACGGCCTACATGCTCTAGTAGATTGGTCGACTAGATGGTATGAGAAAAATCTCGAAGAAAGACGTCTCACGGCCTTATTGAGAACATAGTTTGTATCTTTCATCTAACTAACATACGTCAGGCTTTATTTAGAATATGCTATTCGGACACCTACACCATGCTTCAAAAATGAAGCTGACATACTAGAACGGATTCAGATAGTAAGAAACAAGATGATCAAAAGGGTTCTCTGAGTTCTCTTACCAAAAATACAGGACCCACCAAGTCTTTCTCTAATGATTTGTCGTGAGATGACATTGATGTCATTTCACAGTATGATGATACACGTAATAATGCTTTGCACACCAAATAAGTTTGTTTCATATTGCAACGTTTATCAAACTGAACACCAAAAAGTTCATTGATAGCGATCAAGCTATAAATAAGTTTCTCTCACAGAGTTGTGAACCATTGGAAATCTAGACGGGAGCTTATACTCTCTCCACCCTCCATTGATACTTTCAAAGCAAGATTAGATCTCCCCACCACTACCACTAGCATGAGTCATAAAATGTCATTGACCTACTGTCCCTTTTCCCGAAGTTTATTCCTTAGCATAATTAAGGAAGCTCAAACAGAAGGTTTAGTGATTTTGTTGGAAATAGTTGAACTAGTTTCATCTCAAATATGGAGCAGCTATGTTAGTGAAAGCATATTGTATGGGATACATGGTACGTGTTCTTCAAGTAAGTATTCTTCCCCACCTTAAAACTTAGAAATACTAGGCTCCTACACCATGAATTCTACAATTCAGGGCAGTGTAAAAGGACACGTTGGCTACAGTCACATAGTTTTCACTTAGTTTATTTGGAAAGCAAAGTACAAGCGAATTTATTCAACATATATATCATTATGGTGCATTTAGATACACACATCGGAACCACATAGTCATTTAGATTGTAGCTATGAAAGAAGAGTGACCGCCTCCAATATGATTCATTGCTTCTAGGCAAATACTGGATACTTGCAAATAAACAGCTTACAAACCTGCCTACTGCCTCATAAAAAATGATAAGAAAATAGCTTATATCATATTTATGGCAAAATATATTCTCACTAGCAGTAAGTCTCTATATAAAAATCGTAGGAGAAAATATGGCTTAAAATAGATTGAGCTCTGTTAGTTTATCTTTGAGCATAATTGTTTCCACGTCTAGTCTCTTGGAGACACGGTTAAGGTGTACAGTCATTTAAGTCAAAAAACTTCCTTGAGCTGTAGATCCCATGAATATATATACATGCATACGTACACACATGCTTTTCAATTTTGGCATACATCCATTCAATCTGGACTGGACTATAAGCATATTCTTGAGTTATCGATCTGAGCTTCATGATGCTTAACCGTTTAGATGTCGATAATATTGTATTATCAATCTTGAGAGTTGGACTGGCTTCAAATGACTTCTCGCTACATCTTTAGTGAGATTAAACGAGGTTTTTAAAACTGAAGGCCAAAATATGGAGAAAACTCGAGTTCCTAACTAAAACATCATTTGCTTTCTTAAACAATGAATATTAGTTCGATATCGATGAAGAGAAGTAGCTGGGTAATGAGTCCATATTTTTTGTTTATGTGACCAATATCGTGAGTGAAGCACAAACGAGCTACTCAGTCATTAGAATGGGATGAAAAAGCTTTTTCAGATCTTATCATGTCATAATAGTGAAACCGGAAAAAATAAATTCTGCTTTAGTGATAATCAACATCATTTCGCACTCAAAGGCACTCCAGCGAGTGAATAAACCGGAGAGTAAAGCAAAACTGAGGTAATTACCAGCTAACAAATGTAGTATTCCTATTGTAGTATTCCAACGGCATCACGATTTCCAGCACTCTAAACAGTCTCCTGTACATGTCCTCATATTGAACTCCACAATAATGCAAACATTGTTTTATTTTACATCCAACTGCAGTCGATTACACCTACTGACTACATTTTCTGTCTCGACAACAATCATTTGATCAACGCAAATCATGTTGCTCCACCAAAGTCTTCTTTCAAAATCCCATACAAAGACAAGTAAAACGACTCAAAATCAGTGAGGAACCATGACTTACGCACAGTAGATGTGTTGAGAATCCAACAGTTCAAGCAGTAGCTATGCTCACAGAGGAGATAAGTCCATTCCTCCCATTTTGTCTTGATCCCAACTCTTGTTGCTTCAGTATACATCTCACTCCTACTGACTGATTATCATCACTTTTCATGTCTACATTGTGCCTCACTTTCACACACTACGACATCTTACATCAAATTACCAAATCAAATTCTCATAATACATACACCCCATTTTCAAATTCCATACGTATTATTATTCCTGAACTGATGATCACACACCGCGATAAGGAAATCCATTACCAAACCTTCAATAAAATCACCATTTCACCCTACATCATACGCTTTACACGAGTTAATGATGAAGTTTCGGCTAATTAGAGACTATTCTGTTTATTTCTTCCTAACGTAAATACGAGAGTTGAGACGTGGAAAATGATTCGTGGAAAACAGAAATTTATTCCTTGAATCACCCTGTGGTTTTGAATGCCTCAACTAGAATTCTGTTCATAACTTACACTACCACTTCTGTAAACATTCTCATAGACATATAAATGTACAGACTTGTGAGAGTGTCTGACAACATATGTTTACCACCATAGTTATTGTTGTAAGCCTTGTGACGTCCTCGCAGACAAAATTATGCATTCACTATGCTCAAATTAATATCCTCAAAGAAAAACAGTATTTAAGAATTTCCCAGGGAAAACGAGGATTGCAATTGCAACACATATATTACAGGTGGTACCAGCACACAGTGGGCACCAACTCATCCACCTAGTAGTAAATACATGCATTAATAGCAACATTCACTTTGGCATAGACTCAGAT